TATATATATATATATATATATATATATATATGCATAGTTTGATATACCTGCATATATATATATATACATTTATTATATATATATATATATATATATATGTATATAAACTGATATATATATATAGAGACATATATATGTGCATATTATATTATATATATATATATATATATATATATATATATATATATATGCTTTCGTTTGTCGAGGCTTGTTTCGATTAGAGACGATTCTAAATATCTTTCCCTTCTCAGTGTTCACCCCGCCCATTCGTAAGAAAATAAAAAATAGAACAAAAACCCAAAAATGTTTACTTATATCTGCTGAACGTAACACACGTTTCACACGTTTTTAGGCGGCAAATTTCTCTGTCGTTTATTGCCATCCTTTTTTGGGCAAGACAATTTTTGGGTGTTATTTTTTGCCTTTACTTTTTCTCTAGTATGCGTGCGCCTGTCTGTGTGTCTGTGGCTGTGCTTGTCCGTGTGTGGATGTGTGCGTCTCTGTGTGCGCGCGCTTATGTGTATGTGTAAGTAACCGGATATGGAATTAGCGCTTGTGTTTCACCTCATTCACATCTCGTCGCCGTCCTCTCTATTCAATCTTTGTCTCTTTCTTTTCCTTTTTTCCTTTCCCGTTCTTCCTTTGTTTTCTCTTTGCATTTAGTCTTACTTTTATTTTTGGTTGACTTTATTTTCCCTTTCATTTCTGCCTACCTTTTTCTTTCTTATTTTCATTTTCTTTGTCTTTCTTTCTCTTTTCTCTTTCTTTCTTTTTTCTTTCTTTTTCTTTTCTCTTTCTTTCTTTCTTTCTTTCTTTCTTTTTCTTTTTCTTTTCTCTTTCTTACGTTCATTTACTTTGATTCTTTTACATTTTCATTTCACTTTCTTTTTCATTTCTCTTTCTTACTTTCTTTTCCATTGTTTCGTTTTCTTTTCTCTTTTCTTTTTCATTTTTTGCTTTCATTTTCTTTGTTTCTTTTTCTTTCTCTCTCTTTCTTTTTTCTTTTCATTTTCTCTTTCTTTCATTTTCTTTGTTTCTTTTTCATTTCTCCTTCCTTTTTCTTTTTCGTTTCTCTTTCTTACCTCCATTTTTTGTTTCTTTTTTCTTTTTTACACTTTCTTTCTTTTCTTTACATTTTCTCTTTCTTACTTTCATTTTCTTTGTTTTTTTTCATTTCTCATTCTTTTTCTTTTTCGTTTTCTCTTTCTTACCTCCATTTTTTTTGTTTCTTTTTTCTTTACAATTTGTTTTTTTTTCTTTTCATTTTCTCTTTCTTTCATTTTCTTTGTTTCTTTTTCATTTCTCCTTCTTTTTTCTTTTTCGTTTCTCTTTCTTACCTCCATTTTTTGTTTCTTTTTCTTTACACTTTCTTTCTTTTTTCTTTACATTTTCTCTTTCTTACTTTCATTTTCTTTGTTTCTTTTTCATTTCTCATTCTTTTTTCTTTTTCGTTTCTCTTTCTTACCTCCATTTTTTGTTTCTTTTTCTTTACAATTTGTTTCTTTTTTCTTTTCATTTTCTCTTTCTTTCATTTTCTTTGTTTCTTTTTCATTTCACCTTCTTTTTTCTTTTTCGTTTCTCTTTCTCACCTCCATTTTTGTTTTTGTTTCTTTTTCTTTACACTTTATTTCTTTTTTCTTTTCATTTTCTCTTTCTTTCATTTTCTTTGTTTCTTTTTCATTTCTCCTTCTTTTTTCTTTTTCGTTTCTCTTTCTCACCTCCATTTTTGTTTCTTTTTCTTTACACTTTATTTCTTTTTTCTTTTCATTTTCTCTTTCTTTCATTTTCTTTGTTTCTTTTTCATTTCACCTTCTTTTTTCTTTTTCGTTTCTCTTTCTTACCTCCATTTTTTGTTTCTTTTTCTTTACAATTTGTTTCTTTTTTCTTTTCATTTTCTCTTTCTTACTTTCATTTTCTTTGTTTCTTTTTCATTTCCCTTTCTTTTTTCTTTTTTGTTTCTCTTTCTTACCTCCATTTTTTGTTTCTTTTTCATTACACTTTCTTTCTTTTTTCTTTTCATTTTCTCTTTCTTACTTTCATTTTCTTTGTTTCTTTTTCATTTCTCCTTCTTTTTTCTTTTTCGTTTCTCTTTCTCACCTCCATTTTTGTTTCTTTTTCTTTACACTTTATTTCTTTTTTCTTTTCATTTTCTCTTTCTTTCATTTTCTTTGTTTCTTTTTCATTTCACCTTCTTTTTTCTTTTTCGTTTCTCTTTCTTACCTCCATTTTTTGTTTCTTTTTCTTTACAATTTGTTTCTTTTTTCTTTTCATTTTCTCTTTCTTACTTTCATTTTATTTGTTTCTTTTTCATTTCCCTTTCTTTTTTCTTTTTCATTTCCCTTTCTTTTTTCTTTTTTGTTTCTCTTTCTTACCTCCATTTTTTGTTTCTTTTTCATTACACTTTCTTTCTTTTTTTCCATTTCTGTTTCTTACTTTCATTTTCTTTGTTTCTTTTTCTTTCTCTTTGTTTTTTCTTTTTCATTTTTCGTTCATACTCGTTTTTTCTTTGTTTCTTTTTCATTACACTTTCTTTCTTTTTTTTTTCATTTCTCCTTACTTTAATTTTCTTTGTTTCTTTTTCACTTCTTTTTCTCTTTTTCATTTCTTTTTCTTACCTTCATTCATTCTTGAAAATTATTCATTTATGTCTTGTCCTATTTCCTTCATCAACAAGGCAAACTTCTTTTTTCTCCAACTGAATTCATGTCACCATGTAATATCCCCTGTCTATCACTCAATTTGTTCTGTACAATCTTTTGCCATCACTTCAATACGTTTTTCTTTTAGCTCAGCTTAGATTGTTGGATAAAAATGTATTGCTCCCTTAAAAATATATAGATGAAGAAACTCGTCAGCTAAGATAAGTTTCCTTTTTCTCTTTATTCATATAGTGCTTTTACAGATACATTCTATCTTTAATTTTACATATACACACATATATATATATATATATATATATATATATATATATATATATATATATATATATATATATATATATGTGTGTGTGTGTGTGTACGTATATATGAAAGTCAAATATATTATGATGCTAAAAATGTTGACAGTCAATGGAATACTGAGAGAAAACATATTCAAGTCAATCAGTCTTTACAATAAATCGCTCGATATCAAAGACAGAGCCTGAATAGGATTAATATGAGGAAATATTTGTTACTTAGCTCATTGATGTTACCTTCAGCATTCCGACTCCAGAGTTTCGTAGCCGGACCTGTCCGTCCATTCCTCAGTGTGTATCAGCAATTTACTATTTAAAATGAATATTTGGAGCTGACTTGTTGAATATAACATCCATCAGCTAAGTGATAAACTTTACTCTTATTAATATATATATATATATATATATATATATATATATATATATATATATATATATGTAGGCATGTATATATAGGCATGATGAATTGAATCGTGATTACGATTACAATGTAATAAATTATAACCATGGAATTTTAGGATTCGAACCTTTTATATTATATTCTTACACTGTCCTGGACATTGAGTTCTACCTGGATTCTATCCTCTTGACAATTTATATATATATATATATATATATATATATATATATATATATATATATATATATATATATATATATATATATATATATATATATATATATATATATATGTACATATATATATATATATATATATATATATATATATATATATATATATATATATATATATATATATATATATTATGGACATACTTTCATTCCCTGATTTAATTTCTTGATGGCTGTAGAAAACTGATTTTAAAAAATTACAAATTTTATTTCAATATATATATATATATATATATATATATATATATATATATATATATATATATATATATATATATATATATATGTCATGTCATACACTCTCGACCAGAAAGGTTTCGCTTAAGTATACAATACAACGCTACTTGACCGGCAAAATTTCTTTGTGGCCTAGTGGGTTAATTCACATCAGATCGAACGTCCTTCCCTCTTCTCCCAGAGACGCAGGATTGAATCCTTTCGAATAGCGTATTTCCCTCCCTCTGTCTCTCTCCATATATATATATATATATATATATATATATATATATATATATATATATATATATATATCAGCAGGCTACTGGTTTTTGAGCACACACCTCTCACTTTGAGGGGCTAACTAATCTCTGTTGCAAACACCTTCTCAGGCATATATGCGTTTGTTCAAAACCCACCTGTAGTTTCCACTGCATGTATTCTGATCGGACTTTAGTTTCAGCTTTTTTTATAGGGGCGGAGAAACACACATAATATAGCGTAATAAGGAATTTCAACAAGCGCAGGGCCTTGGCTCAATATATTGTAAGGGTTGCATGCATTTTCTAAAGGAAACGCACGCTGGGATCGTCCTTCCAGACATATAATATTTGCACCCGGGTATTATTGTCTTAGGATGTCATCAATTTACAATTGTGCTGTCTAGATGGAGCCGTAACTTCTATGCTAACAATTTCTTTTCTCGTATTTCTCACTTGTGGAACTCCCTTTCCATGCTTTCCAACATCAATCTTCAAAAATTTAAATGCAATGTCAATCACGATCTACTGTTCTCCTGTTTGCTCTTTTCTATTTCTCCTCATTACTAATGTTTCTGCTCTTAATTTCTCCACACCCTGTAACCCCTTTCGTATTAGTGGCTGTACTTCCTTGCTTGGGATGATACCGATATATATATATATATATATATATATATAGATATCATAGCTGGCCACTCGTATTCGAGGATACCCGTCTACTAGTAGGGCGGCTAACTAATCCCTATTGCAGACGCTCGCTCAGGCACATTTGTGTTTGTCCAGCACCCACAGAGCCAACCCGCGGTTTATATTGCAACTATGTTGAGCAGACCGTAGTTACAGTTTCTGGGAAAGACCGTATTCCATACTTCCCAGCCAACTTTAATCTGCAAAAATTTAAATGCAATGTCAATCGCTATCTACTGTTCACCTGATTAGTCTTTGTTCTTTCTACTTATTATTAATGTTTCTATTCCAAGTTCACCCATAATACCGATTACAAAATTTAGTAAATTATACAGTAAAATTAGTACTCATCAACAGATAAGGTAAGATTTTGTAGATATCCTTAGAATTATAATATATATATATATATATATATATATATATATATATATATATATATATATATATATATAAAGTAGGATTGGTGTATACGGAATAAATTCCAACAACCAAAAAAAATACTATTGTTAAAAGAGTGCTCAATACACAGTAGAGGGAATATAATTTATTCGAAAATTATAACATAAATATGTTATAAAATCACTACAAAATAGCTATTTTGTTTCAACACTTTGATATCTAATCAAGTGATGCTGTTAACATCACTTTATAATACACCAGAAGTGTTGAAAGAAAATGGCTATTTTTGTAATGATTTATAGCATATTTATGTTATAATTTTAGAATATATATATATATATATATATATATATATATACATATATATATATATATATATATATATATATATATATATATAGCATATGTATTTCTGTCTCTTTCAGTTTATAATATCTCTCCTTATTTTTTTATAACAACTTTCTAAGAGTATGTTTTATTTATGTAAATGGAAACAAATATTTATTTATAAATAAATCCCAAATGTATAGATCCTTGTAAAACATAAATGATTAATCCAATATCTCCTCTACATGTCTAAATTATTTTATTATTTTTATTTTAATATCGGCTCCTTGACATTCTGTAGGTTTCACCAATCTGTCAACCATTGAATTTAATTTTTCTACCCTTTCAATTTTAACATTTCCATATATATTTCATTATTTTACACTTTAATATCGGCTCCTTGACATTATATAACCTTCATCAACGTTTTTACCAGAATTCATCATACTTTCAAGAGTCGTCTTTTAAGAATTTTACCCACCTTTCATTGAGAAACTTTCACCAATCGCTGATAATTCATTCCTTTTTGGTGGTCAGTCTAGGCTTATTCAGTGCAAACTTCAATATTCTGTGTCGTTCGCATTTTGAAAATATATTTGTTTCCGTCTTCCTCCAGAAATGTTCACTATAGTATTGAACTTTAAAACCTGAAAAATGCTTACCTAAATGAGGATGCACCGCCCGAAATCAGATGTTGATAGAATGTACGTATCAAGAGCTTTAGGAGGCCGAGGTCGAATCCAACTTGAACACATTGTAAAAACTACAACAATTGGATTGAAAGTATACCTCACAAAAACCAATGACCTTCTCCTACAAACAGTAAAACACCAAATCCACTACATCAACAAAGAAGCTGCACACTCTTCAAGAAACAGCTTAATATACCTGAAACCCTACCAACATAAAAACGAAGTGAATGCCGTCTACTCCAAACGAGTAATGAAGAAAGCAAAACAACTTGGCCAAATGAAATTACAAAAAAAAAACAAAAACAAAAACAAATAGGAGGACATGTCGTTGCATGGCAAATACCTAAAAAGAACGAAAGAAGCAGATGTGCAGCAACTGAAAACTCGTCAATAGCTGTGGATCACCGGCCTGAAAGCTAAGATAGAAGGACTAATTATTGCAACTCAGGGCCAAAGCTTTGCAACCAGATCCTATCACTGTCACATAAACAAGGATGGAACTAACCCGAAAAGCAGTATCCGCGGAAAATATAATGAAACTGTTGACCATATTATCTCAGGATGTCCGAAACTAGCAAAAAAAATAAAATAAAATAAAATAAAAAATTGAATGCACCTACAGACGTAACAAGATAGCAACATGTTTTCACTGGAAGATATGCAAAAAGCACAAAATCGAAACCACTGAGAGATGGTATGAGCACCAACCAGACAAAATAACGGTGTAACTATCCTCTGGGACATGCAAATTCAAACTGACAAGGTAATAAAAGCCAACAGACCTAATATTATCATAAAAGACAAGAAATCCAAGAAGTGTATACTTATTGACATAGTAGTAGCATCTGAGAGAAACACCTCCATGGAAATTATCAAGAAATTGTTCAAATACAAGGACCTTGAGATCGAGATTAACAGGATGTGGTTGAATGAAGACTGAGACTGTACCGATAGTAATCAAAGCTCTGGACCTCGCGAGAAAAGGAATGGATAATTTTACTAACAGTGTCCCAGGTAACATCAACGTACAGGTTGGCAAGAAGATCACCCTACTTGGAAAATCCCATATACAAAGAAAAGTGCTCTCAATTAAATGACAATTCTCCTATTTGGCCTAAAGGACCATCGTTAGGACCCGGTTCGACAGGATACAAAACAGGAAACAAAACATGCACAAATAATAATAATAATAATAATAATAATAATAATAATAATAATGGCAGTCCCTGCTGACTGCAATGTATCTTTGAAGATATTCAGAAAGTTGACAAAATACAAGGACCTTGAAATAGAAATCTCGAAAATGTGGCATATGGGAACATCAACAATCCCTGTTGTAGTTGGAGCCCTAGGACTGGTTGGAAAAGATTGCACTAGACTAATTGAAGGGATTCCTGGAAGTCTATGCCTAAAGGAGATACAAAAAATTGTTCTGACAAGTACAGCCCACACTTTACGAAGGGCTTTATCTATGTATTTTTTTTTTTTTTTTTGTCAGTGGAAAGTGAAGTGTCATTTCTAACCTTAGG